TGACCCTGCTGCTGCCCAGGCTCCAGGTCTGTGAGGTAGAGAGGGCAAAGGAGGTGTTTTCGACATGAACAAGGCAGAGGAGAAATCACCAGTAATTTTCTGGTTTGTTCCTGGGGAGCAGGACCAGAATTTGCAGAAGAATGGTCAGCAGGCTGGCCAGCTGGCCTGCCTAACATGGGTCTGAACTCTCCTAGGCTCTCTGTACAGCTCTTTTCAGGCTATGAACATGATTAATCACCTTTTTCAAAGTCAGGAAAAAGCAGTGAGGGTCCCTGGCAGGGCTATACCCTAGGCCCTGGGTCCTCACTCCTGACTAGTAGGCAGGAAGGCAGCCTTCATGAGCCGTTTGGGGCCCTGCCTTTAATTGCTCCTGGCCTTCTCCGGAGCATGCCCATTCTCTGTGATGAAAAGGGAATGGCTTGTTCTTCAGCACTCTTGCCGCTTCCCAACTTTGTCTCAAGCCAGAGGCAGCTCTCTCTCTTCTTGCCCTCATCTCCACCCCTAATTATAGCTAAATTATCTTGAGTGGAAGACAAGAAAGCAGGGTGCCAGGAAACGTCTGGTGTCCTGCCATATCTGCACTGGAAGCTCCTGAGGCAGTAGTGCCTGAGAGTGCCCGTGCCCACCAACAAGGGTTAAAGCCCAGCATCCTGAAGGCCTTGCTGAATCCCTGGGCCTCATAAAAGCCTTCCGTCCCTGGGGTTGTCTCGGGCTCCCTGGCTGAAATCTGATAAGGGGCCTCTTTGTTGCAACTGTCAGTCTCCTTTATTGAGGAGGGAACTGGAGACCAGCCGCATTTCTTGGGGTGCAGATAAGGCCCTGGGTTCCTGTCAGAGAGAACATGATTAATTACCCTCAGTCCTAGCTCCTACTTTGATATCAGTGACTGACAGTCTGCAGGCTTTCCCTCCAGGTGCTCCCCAGGCTTGGTAAGGTGGAGATACAGCCTCCCACAGGGCCACACCAATGACCCATAGAGCTCTCTCCAGTGGGTGTCTAGCCTCACTGCAGGCAGCCTTCACATTGATTGTGGGCATGAGATTGCCACTGTGGGTGAGGAACCTCCCAGAGAAGACTGTGTTTCTGCCTCAAGAGCAGACAGAGCCCTTTTGTGAAGGGCCTGAAGGAACCATTGCTTGTGGACTTGAACTTCCCTTACCTCATCTGAAATGTACTAGGGGTCCTTCCCAGGAGAAGAACCCAAATCACTCATTATAAGAACTCCCATTTCAGGCAGGCTCCATAAACCAAGTCATCCTCCCTTTGAGAATAATCACAACTATAAACGTTTGCTTTGATTTTTTGTTGATAATTCCTAAGACTTGAGAACTGAAAGATAGTATAAATTTTTATTTCACAGATGGGAAAACTGAGTCCGGAAGCTTTTGTTCCCCACATCTACCTCCTAGTAGTATGTATTGGCAACCTCAGCTAAAAGACCTTTCCATCTTTCTTCATAGTAGAATCTCCTTGGGACAAGTGCAGTGGCTTCCAGGGCCACCAGCACAAAGCTAACTGCTGGGGTTGTGGTTGTCTTTCTCAGTGGTCAGAATGGAGGCCAAGCAGGTGTTGTGTCTGCACCATCTAGACACGTGCTCACCCAGAGCGACCAGCAAGACACACCTCAGCTCCTTCTCCAACAGTGAACTGCCCTAACCTTTAGTGGAGGGCCAGTTGCGGGGCACAGCATGTTGACTTAGTCTTTAGTCTTCAAGAACCAGGTTGTCCAATGGAGGGGGCCCATGCAGGAGAGGGTGCACCGTGGGGTTCAGGGAAATAGGTCTGTGGAGCACTCAGGATGCCACCAACCTTCCTGTGCACTTGGCTTCTCTGGGAGTCCCAGGATGACGGCTTTCCTCTAAGTGCTGGAGACAGGCCACCTACTGCTAGGTGACAGGTTTGACCTCAAATGCTACTGTGTCCTCTCAGGTCTTATGCTTGTTTTTGCTCCCTTCCCTGGCATTTCTCAGGCTCCTGAATCATGTGGCTGTTGAGACTCTGACTTATAATAAAATTTCTGCATTGGTCACCCTTTAAAGCTACCATCTCAAATGACTAGATGGTTAGTACAGTGACTGCTTAAGATAGCTCTCTGGGGAGCTCCTTCCTTAGGCCACTCTGGAAATCTGCTGTGGTGTAAGTCCACACTGCATCTTTGGTAAAACCCAGTGTGCACAACCTGCTCTATCCTATTTTCTGGCTGCCGATGGATGAATAATGGCTGTTTCCAGAAGTGTAATGGGTTGTCTGTGTCTAAAGATTTACTGCCCCTGAAGAGATCAGCAGGAAATGCTGCAGTCTGAAAGCTGCTTGCAGGTGCAATTCTGATGCCATATGTATCTGGCTGTCCAGGGTGATCTCCTTAAAGACTGTGCTTGGTCAGCTAGGCAAGCCCTGCTGTGCCACAGCTGTTCTGGATACTCACACTCAGCCACCTCCACACTGGCACCTACTTTGCTTCCCCAAGGCCCTGCTGTATGGAGTCCTAGATCCTTAACTTTCTCAAAATCCCTAACCTGTCTATTCTCCTCTTGCTGGTTTTCTGGCTGTGAGACTTGGAAGCAAACAGCCCAAAACACTCTGGGCTCTAGGCCTCAGCTCCCCCAGCTGTTCAGTGGTGATTGTGACCCGTTAGAACCTGAGAAGGGAACTGACTTCTAGTCAAGGCTGTCTGCATAAATGCTTAGAAAAGCTCCCCACAAACATAGGTGCTGTGGGGAAGGTTCCCAAGTAGGGTGCCTTGGAACCAACCGATGCTCTCACTCTGAGCAGCACTGGGTTTTGGGGGTTTTTTGCAGGGTGGTTTTTAGTCTGCGTGGAGGCCTGTTTAATATTTGCACCATAATATTGGAGGCTGGAGACAGTCCCTGCTTCACAGAGCTGACCATCCTCCTAGAGTGCCACACAGACATACATTGAGAGGAATTATTTGCTGCATTTGTTGGAGAATCCTAGAAATTCTGAGAGGGAGGAGACTGGTAGTCAGTGTTCTCCTTGGAGGAGTGGATGTAGAATGAGAGTAGAGCATTTGAGTAGAGGCAGGTGGTTTCCAGCCCGAGCAGGGGCTGGTCACAGAGGCAAAGCAAGCATGGTGGGAAGGGTTCATAAGGTGGTGGTGACAGGAGCTAGTGGGATGTGTTTAAGCACATCCTGTAACCAAAGGGGCCTGTGAGAAAGTGTGCTGATGCATGGCCTGGTGAGCAGCATGGGGGATGTGGAGCACATGGCTGGGTGTACGGGTTGGGTGGTGAACAGTGAGCGGCTTTGGAGGTTTTTAATCAAGTAAATGGGTGATGTGGTTGAAGCAGCATTTTATTTATTTTTATTTTTATCTTTCTGAGGTAGCATTTTAATGAGACTTAGCAGTAGTGTATGAGTTGAGCCTATGATTAGAGGCCACTCCCATCTAGTGCTGAACCAGTAACCAATAAGGACCTGGCCCAGTGGTGATCCAGAAAGGACATTGCCCTCAAGACCGGGTTCAGAGAGAATCAGTGGAGCTCATCGGGCCTGGGATGGGTGCTAAAGGACAGCAGAGCCCAGCCACTGGGGTCAGTGAAGGTGATGGGGGAAGAAGCGAGAGTAAAGGCAAGGTTAGAATGTGTGCAGCACACACGTGCAGATGCCAAAGAAGTCTGGTAATAGCCTATGTGACGGGACCATGGCACATCCTTCCAGCCCTCCAAGTGATTTCATGGAAAGTGTGGGGTCAGCACAACTGGGAGTGTGACCGGCACATAGGCCCTCACAAGGAAGTGGTACCCACCAGCACCTGCCATTAGCCAAACGCAGCACTTCAGGCTTCTTTCATGGGGTCAGAATCAAGCCCACTGGCTGGTCAAGAAAAAGGTCCACAGGCGTGGTGGTTCTCTCCCCATCTTGGAAAAGAGGCATTGTCCTGCCACAGTGTCCCACGTGTCCATGCTGGCCCTTTGCTTCCTCTTGTGACCAAAGGGGCCCGTGACAGTGGGCTAGGCAGTCTGTTTCAGGTGGGAAAGAAAATGCCTGCTGGAGAGGAGAGGAAGCAGGAGGGCCACGAGTCTTAACAGGCTTAGCACTGCCAGGCAGCTCAGTGGGACCCCCGCGCAATGGGGGCAGGGAGGCAAGGGAGGGCAGGAGCAGCAGCCTGTGTACAGTAAAAGGAGCTCACCATCAAAAGGCAACAAGTCTAATACCCTGCCCTGGACGGTGACCCTTCCCTGTGGAATTCTCCCCTCTGACCTCCAGATCATTAATCCCGCGGCTGCCAAATGACAGTCATCCATCACGTCTCCTGACGAGCATCCCAGCCACCGTGAAAGGACCTGGCCCTGCCCTCCTTGCATCCCTTGGTGCTCATTAGTAGCCCTTCCTGCCTGGTGCCAGGTTTCCTAATCAAGTCCCTGGCTCCTCTCACTTCCCCTAGGGCCGGTAGGCGGAAGCTGCTCTGACCCGCCCTCTTTCTGGGGCCAGGGAGGGAATGGGTGATTAGTGGGGAGAGAATTGTTGAGTGGTTCTGCATTCCCCTGAGAGCTGTGTGTCCAGTAGCTCCATTGACATGGCAAGGTACACAGAGAGAAGGGAAAGCCACGTCTTTGTCCTGCAGCAAGAGAGGAGCGGGCAAGCCACAGGCGAAGGCATACACTGCACGGACAGCTATGGGATCTCCTTGACCAGGCAGAAGGCTTTCTAGGAGAGTGAAAGTTGCCAAGTTCTGGAAAAAAATCCCAATGTGTACTGCCAGCAAAAAACACAAAACACTTGGAACTCATCTCATTTGGCCCTTGTATTTACCAGATAGGAAAACAAATCCAGAGAGGCCGAATGTCTTGTCCAGGGTCATACAGCCTGGGAAGAACCTGTCTTCCTTGATGTAGAGAACTGACACTAGTCAGGTAGCTGCCAGGCTTGGTGAGCTTGCATCAAATTTCACTTGTAAGCACATGTGTGAATACCATTTCCCATTCAGGTAAGCATGCTTGTAGGTCTTATGCACCCCTCCCCTTCTTGGACAATCACAGGAACCCCCATCAACCGGATCCCCATTATGGCCAAGCAGATCCTGGACCTGTACATGCTATACAAGCTGGTAACAGAGAAGGGAGGCCTGGTGGAAATCATCAACAAGAAGATCTGGAGGGAGATTACCAAAGGCCTGAACCTGCCCACCTCCATCACCAGCGCCGCCTTTACCCTCAGGACCCAGTGAGTGGCCAGGGCTGGAGAAGGAAGCTGGAGAAACTGGGGAAAGGGGTGGGTCAGCCCTGAGGCAAGGAGGAAGGAAGGAAATTCCAGTGTAGAATACACCAGAGGAGTAATTTCTCCTGAGCCAGCGGGAGCTCAAAAGATGACTGCTTTGCTAGGCCAGGTAGTGGAGTTACTATTGACTTGGTATCTCTTGTGTGCTGGTTCTTTAGCTGTTCTCCCTAAACCTCAGTGAGTCCTGGAAGAGATAATGCACCATTTTTCAGATTACCAGAACTAATTCTGTGAGATTAAATAGTTTGGCCAAGGCCATCCTAGCCTAAATGGTTAAGCTGAGATTCAGACCTGGCTTCTTGGGCCCCTATCTCAAATGCATACTCTGTGTCACGTCACTCCCAAGCAGCACTTCTGCCCTAGCTGGCCACCCCACTGGACACCCAGCCTGTACTTAGTCCCCATGGGGTTGCTGATCTGCACCAAGAGCAGCGGTGGAAAATGAGAGCCAGAGGAGTCTCTTCTTTTGAAACAGGGAATGAACAGCTGACATATCAGTCAGATAGCATTGCACAGTCTTGTAGAAAAGAGAAGGGTTGTACCTATTAGAACTTTGCCAGTAGATGTTAAAGACAGTTGTAACCAAAATAGCAAGCTTCTTGGGAGAGACATGTGACACAAAAGATAGAACTCCTAGGTCAAGAGGCCTGGAAGGTTGGGCTTCGTATCTCGCAAGACACCAAAGTAAATGTGCTGAAGTTAGCTGTTGCTCATTTCCCTTAATGAGCCGTGCTTATGCTTCAAGCCATGGTCAAGGTGGATAGAAATAAGAGGAACCTGGGCAGTGTGTCCAGTGGCACCTATTCCTTGCCCAATGGAGGCTGCTGCCAGAGACCAGTGCCAAGCCTGGGCAGTGTGTGTGGTTGGTTTGGGATGATTCTCCTTTGCTTCTTCCTTCCCTCAGGTACATGAAGTATCTCTATGCCTACGAGTGTGAGAAGAAGGCCTTGAGCTCCCCAGCTGAGCTGCAGGCTGCCATCGATGGCAACCGCAGGGAGGGCAGGCGGCCTAGCTACAGCTCCTCCCTCTTTGGCTATTCATCAGCCGCTGCCACTGCCACTACTGGGGCCCCTGCCCTTCTCTCGCCACCCAAGATCCGCTTCCCAGTCTTGGGGCTTGGCTCCAGCAGCAGCACGAGTGCCAGTGGCCCTCGGTTATCCCCAGCAGCCACTCTCAGGAAAGGTCAGCGGGCCCTCAGGGGAAAGGGAGAGCCCTGTGCCCCTGGCTCCAAAATGGGCCTGTGGCTGGCAGGGGTGAGTATGGGCCAGCTTCAGTTCCTTTGCAGGTGACGGAGTCCCTGCAAACACAGTGCCCGTGCCAAATCGCCTGGCTGTGCCCATGGCTCTGGCAGGACCACAGGCAGGGAGCCGGGTGGCCGCTCTGGAACAGTTACGGGAGCGGCTAGAGACGGGGGAGCCAGCTGAGAAGAAGGCAGCAAGGTTGTCAGAGGAGGAGCAGCGCCTGGTGCAGCAGGCCTTCCAGCGCAACCTCTTCAGCATGGCACGGCAGCTGCCCGTGAAGATCCGTATTAATGGCAGGGGTGCGTGTGCCACTGCAACCCAGCTCCACTCCTGGGGCAGGGTGGGCAAGGGGCACACTCCTGGTCCTTAGAGCACCATGCAGGTTCTCGGGCTGCTGGGATCTGCTTGCTAGGCAGGGGAGTTTGAGGGGCCAGAGGCTGTGCTCCCTGCTCAGCAGCCTTTTGATCCATCTAAACCATAGGGCTTGGCTGCACTGCAGTCCCTCAGTGGATGCAGACCAACACAGGGCATGGTGGCTGGGTCCAGGAGGGTAACACCCTGTGGTCCCAAGGCTCAGCAGGGTACCAGGGGCCTTTAGGAACACATGGCTGTAGGAAACGTATTTGATAGTGTGACTGACATCTTTTTTCCCTTTGCTTCCACATATTTCAAATGCTTCTCTCTTTGTAAACTACACACTGCATTTCCTTTATTCCTCCTCCTCTGCTTTCCCCTCACACACCTGCCCTTTGCCACTTTTGCAGAGGTGAGTAGTAAAGGAGGCTAGTGTGACGGAAGCCATGCTGTGCCCTGCCCATCTAGTCAGTGAGGGACAGGTCTCCTGGCCCTGTACAGTCAAACCATGAGAAAGGCTGCTCACCTGGACCTTGGCTCACTTTGTAAGAAGGCAGAGCCTGGCAGAGATGCCACATGCCAGCCACTCAGGTGGGCATGGAGGGCCAGGTGCTGGGGGCACAACACCCCCCCCCCCCGAGGCAGTCATGCAGAATGCATCCCTAGACTCAGTGATGGGCTCATTGCTCCCTGGCTTCTAGGCTGATACGTAGCAGGCCTAGTTAGGGTTTGTGAGTCCAATTGACAGGGTTGTTGCCTGTAGTCTGGCCACGCCAGCCTGTTCTCTGGGAGAGGAGGGCACTGGGGATTTGGCGAGCCTAGGTTTCTGCCAGCTCGTGAGCTCAAGAAGCAGTCCTGTGGGTGCTCTCCAACAGCACCAGAGGACAGTGCCGGGGGGGGGGGGGGTTTGACCTGGCAACTTTCTCCCTACCCCACCAGAAGACAGAGGAGAAGCCTCGGCCGCTGCATTGAACCTGACCCCAAGCACCATTGGGAGTATAAATATGTCTGTGGACATCGACGGTACCACCTATGCAGGTAGGCCCCAGGTGGCCATTGTGCCATCCCTCGGTGGCCCTACTGTCACTCTTGTCCCCAAATGCACCCAGGATGCTTCCTTCCAGATTGTTAGCAGGATGACAGATCCACCTTACCTGATAGAAAGCCGTCCTCTGGTCATTCTGATCAGTGTTGAGGTTCCCAGTCAGTGCCATATCCAGGTCCTTAGACACTGTGTGTTAAGTCAGATTCCGCCATGCCTGAGTCTCTTTTTTGGCTGTAAAACACTCACAGTGGCCTTAAAGCTATTTTCTGGCTTTAAAGTGGACTAAGGACTGAGACCCCAGCCACAGAATCTGAGTGCTACTGAATCGGCCTGTTTGGTCAGTTGATTCAGCACCTTGACCAAAGTCTTTCCAGGATGTTCCACTCAGTACTTATAGAAACAGCAGTCATTGTTCCCTGCTGTTTCACTGGTTAGGGTTGGGCATGGGGACAGCGTATCTGAATCTTGTCCTAACTAGGGAGGCAGACAGCTCAGGGCATGTGAAGCTCTGCTGCCGTGCCCAGCCCCAGACCTGCATCTGTCCATTTAAATGCTTCTGTTCTGAGGACTGCAGCCCCTGCAGCCCCTGCAGCACCATCCTGGAGGCCAGGCCTCCTCAGGAGCTGGAGGACAATACCTTTGTGTCTTACCTCCCTGAGACCTTTGTATTTCTGTCCAGCCCGAGCACTCTCCCTCTTGGACCCCTCTGTTTCTGCTGTACCCTGCCACACTACTCTGGGTGTTGTAACATCCTGTTTATGCCCTTGCAGCCCAGCAGAGCACAGGGCCTCTGTTTGCATCCTGCGCAGTGCTAGGGATGCAGGGGAGGCCTGCAGTGGGCATTTGTTGGTGATGGAGCTGTGTCTGTTCCCCCAGGCGTGCTGTTTGCCCAGAAACCCGTGGTCCACCTCATCGCAGGCCCTGCTGCCCAGAGTGTCGTCGGCAGCACCTCCGGTGGCAGCAGTAGCAGTGGCGGCTCTCACTGCTCACATAGTCCTACCTCGTCCCGGGGCACTCCCAGCGTGGAGCCCTCTACCAGCTGGTCCCTCTGACGGCATTGCCAGCTGTCCGTGCCCTCCAGCCAGGAGTGGTGGAAGCTGACACACAGAATTTACCTCGTCTCATGAAGTCTGATGTTCAGGGACTTGGTGTGTCCATTTGTCCAGGCTACATTCAGGTCCTGCTGTCTCCTGGGGGCAGGGAGAGGTGGGCGGGGAAGGACAGGGCAGCATTGTCCAATCAGGGATCATCCTGGAGGCCTGGGCAGGGGTCTGGGTGCCCCACTTCCTCCAGGGTCCCCACCCACCTTTTACCCCAGGGCACAGTGTATCGACAATCTGTAAGCCGACACAGGGCTGGACACCTCCACTTCCTTCCCTCTTAATTTATTTCCCTTCCTCTGCTTTCTGCCATCACCCCAGGGTCATGGTCTTATCCTCTCCTCCCCGCCCGGCATTTTTAATCCTGTGTGGCTGCTGGGGCCAACACCTGCCTTCATGGCCCTCAGCAGCTGAGTATAGATCTAGCCCACCTGTCTGATCTTGGTTCTCAAAGCCTGGGTCCCTCAAATCCAAGTCTGAAGTCAGACCTGGGGCCCCATGTCCCCCTCAGTTGGGGGAAACATGAAAGCACATGAGGGCAAGCTCTAGGCGTAGGTCTCTGAGCATCTGACAGGAGGGAGGAGGGCTTGGACTGCACGGACCCTGGTAGCTATTTCACAGGATGCCATGCAACCTGCCTTTACCTCAGGCTCCCCAGTGGCCCTTGTTGGCTACTCTCCCACCATAGTTCCCTTGTCCCTGTCCTGTTGTCTCCGGGGGCAGTCTCTGCTCCACCAGCCCCAGATGTGCCGATATCAGGTCATTTAAATACCTCAGATTTGTAATTGTTGATGTTTGATTCTTCAGGAAGTATTTACATCTCTGAAATCTTTTTATATGTTTTTGCTGACTTTTGTTTTTTATTTTTAAATTTTTGTTGTTGCTGTTGTAGCACCAAAGAAATAAGAAGTAAGAGTGGATCACCTCAGCCGGGTGCAGTTGGTGGCCAGCCCCTTGGCCCTGCTCTTGGCCCCTAGAGACAGGAACAAGCCAAGTGACTCAGGGATCCCCAAGGCAGTGGGGTGGGAAGGAGAGGCCTGCACTTGCCTGCAAGGCCAGAAACTATGCCAGTCCCAGGACATCCCTGACTACCACCGCCCCTGCCCGGCCATGCTGGAGCCCAGGTCAGGGGGTGGGAATGTGAGCTGCCAGGGCTGGTGCAGGCTACGCTACCCCTGCGGATAGACAGGGTGTCACTTGCACAGGCCACCTTGGCTGGGTACCTTTAGTGTTTAGAATGCCGCCACTATGACTCCTGGGCTCAGGGCCCTGCTCAGTCCCATCCAGGAAGAGAAAGGGAAACCAGAAGCTCACACACAGACATACCTCAGCCTGGCCAGTGGCTCTGCCAGCCTGCACCTCATCCCTGCCCTGGACCTCTACACATTTGAGTGTGCAAACACAGCCTACCCACCCACCTGCGGCAGGCTGCCCTCCTCTGCCTGCAGAAACCTTGCCTTCCACACAGGTGGGCTGTGGTAGAGTAGGGAATAAGGCTCTGGTGCCAGTTCGGAGGTCCAGTGGCCAGTGCTGGCCCTCTCCCTTTGGAGTACAGCAGACACTTGGCCAGAGTATCGTTCTCAGGGTTTAGTCAAAGGATGGACTCTCCCACTCAGAGGATGCAGGGATGTACACTGGGTCGCTGGTCACAGACCCTCCCCTTCTTCCCCGGCCACTGGACTGGCCTCTCCCAGAATGCCCCTCAGTGCCCCAGTGTGGGCCTGGCTCAGGCGGAGCATCCATAGGGGATGCTCGGTCCCCTGTCCCATCATCTTCGTATTCCAGCAGCATTGTGGTAGCACACAGGTAGCCTAGGCAGTGAGTACATACCTCAGACGTCCTCTCAGCAAGTGTCTGTATATGTCGTGGTTCTTTTCTCTTACATGTTCTGAATGTTTATATTTCATTAAACCTCTACCTCTTCACACAGCAGGCCTCGTGCTGACTCCTCTACTGCTATTGCGAAAGAGCCTTCAGGGGGACCGGGTGAAGCAGCTGTTCTCTGTCCCTAGGCTTCCTTGGCATCTCCTATCCTCCCAGAGCACTTACACATGCTTCTCTGCTGGTGGCAGGGTGCTCAGCATGGCCTGGTCACCAAGACTGGCTCTGGTGAATCACGTTGGTGTCATGACAGGCCTGGGCCCCAACACTTGCTGAGCCAGATACAGTGGGAGAAGGCACAGTGGATGAAATCTCAAAGTTTCCTGTTTGTTTTTGCAATACAGGGAATTAAACTCAGGGCCTTAGATGTGAACTACACCCACAGCCTTTTTTATGTCTTAGTTTGAGATAGGGTCTTGCTGAATTGCCTAGGCCATAACTAAAAGTTGAGATTCTCCTCCCTCAGCCTCCCAGAGCTCTGAGATTACAGATGTGCACCATTGTGCTCAGCTACAGAGCTGCTCCTTAGGGTCCTCCAAAGTCTGCACATTTTAGCAGGGGGCTATGTGGGCAGGGCATCTCTGGAAGCTTTTAGAGGTGGCAGTGTCACAGCTGAAAGAGCAAGGTAGCTTTGTGTAAAACAGCAGCATCTGTGGTCAGTGCTGCGACCCAACAGCAGAGGTAGGGTTTGGGGAAAGCACTGTTGGCATCAGGATGGCCCCAGGGCTGAGGGACTTGGGTGCACCCGTCTGAGCCTCAGAACATGTTTTTTAACCTGGACACAGGTTAAAAGAGACTTTTAAAGGGGGCCCTGGAGCCAGGTGCTAGGGGTGGACCCTTGGGCTGACACCCCAGGAGAACCTTGCTCAGACACAGACGGTACAGCGTCTCCTGGAGGCGTGCAGAGGGGAAGCCCTAGTGTCTGAAAAAGCACTTGAATACCTGTCTGTTACCCACCCTCTGGCACTGGCAGGGACCCCTTTCTCTGATATTGGCTGATATTGGAAGTGCTAGAAAGGTGACAACAGGACAGTCCTGAGCTGCCACTTCCTGACATTGAAACTCTTCTGTAAGAAATAACCAGCACTTTAGTACTTTGCTGGCACCCAGGCATGGGCCTTCTAGCTTCCAGGCCTCAGAGGTGATACATCCTCCAGGGCCTTGAAATGAGGGCAGGCTAGGAGCAACTGCTGAGCAGGGACCCTTTAAGGATGGCGGTTGGTTTGTTGTTTTTTTTTTTTTTTTAACTTTTTTATCAGTACTGGGGATCGAACTCACGACCACCTGCTTGCAAGGCAGGTGCTTATACCGCTGAGCTAAATCCCCAGCCCCTGGTTGGTTGGTTTTTAATGCTTAGTTACTGAGACAAAAGCAAAAGGAAGGCCGTGGAGCAGGAAGTGTCACAGATAGGTTTCGCACAGAGACTGCCCAGTTCCACCTCACCAGTGACCCACAAGATGCTCAGGTTTTGCATGCACATGTCAGTGGCACGAGCTTTGGTGTTGTGTGTGCCAGTCCTGGCTAGGACAGGCAGTGGGACTCACACCACACTGAGTGTACAGTTACCCCAGGGCTTGGGACTGTACTTGCTAGGTGCACGCCCTGGATGCGAGCAGGAGGGGCCACACCAACTGATGGTCAGTTCTGCTCAGACTAGTGCGTCTCCTCTGCCTGTCTATAAGGTGGCACCATGTTTCCCTTCTGCAGGTGGGAAGTGGAGCCACCACTTATAGACAGATCTCATTGCAGGCCTAATGTCTCACATCCCCGGGTTGGAGCACTTGGGCTTCTACTTTGTGCCTCACTGGCACCATGCTGTAAGTTACCTACTCATTTTACAAATGAAGAAACCAAGGAATGGGAATGGGCTTGAGGTCACAGAGACAGTAATGGTACAGTTGGTATCAGGCTCCAGAGCCACTGCCCTTAGCCTCTGCCCAGTGTGGGGAGGAGGGCCCAGGACTTCCCACCCAGGTCTCTGCTGTGCCGCACTGCATCCTGCAAGGGCTCTCCAGAGGAAACTGAGCAGCCACGGGACCCACTTTCCTGACCACACTCAGTGACACACACACAGTCTTGCCAGAACCATTGGAAGGAAGGACCCTCCAGGAAACTGCACCTCTAATATAGGGAAGGGGATCCGTAGGTCCCTGAGAAGGAAAGCGACCTGGTGGCTGAGGAGGGGGTTTCTGAAAGAGGCGAGGAAAGGAGGAATCAAGCAGGAGCAAGAGGAATCAAGCAGGAAGAGAGCAAAGGGGCCTGCTGAACTTGAAAGTGCGAGGTATAAGTCCCACCAGCAGCCAGGGCACAGGGACAGTTGAGGCCAGAGGGAGCTAGCTGTGACAGAGACCACCCCAGCTGCTGCCCACAGGGCAAGGTCATTACCCACCCCTGCATAGGCAGGGGTATCTTGAGTAGCAGCCTGCGCAGCCACATCCCAGGCCTCCTATGTGGGGCCTCCTCCAGGACAGAGGGGTGACTCTGCCTGCACCAAAGGGTGCAGGGCTCTGGCTCACCCTCAGCCTAGAGCCCCAAGCACCTACTACTCTGAGCACCCAGCCCTAAGCACATCCTCACATCCCAGCAACAGATGCCAGTTCTGTGATTGCCATGGGGACAGCACCAGTGTCCCTGGCACCCTTCATCTAGCCTCAGACTCCAGGAACAGCCAGGTTCCCTGGTCTCTTCCCCAGGCACAGGCAGGTCAGCCAGGCTCAGTCATTGCCCGGCACTCGAGGGGCTACCCTGCCAGCTGCCTGGACTCACCTGGCGGCCACAGCACTGCTACCTCAAGGAAGTCATGTCCCAAGCTTTGGCAGGGCTTTCAGTGCCCATGTCCACCCTGGCTTTGTGCCTGTATCTACATGCCTGGCCCAATGCCACCAGGGTGGTCCTGGCAGGCTCTAAATGAGCTCTTCCTTACCCTCTGGCCTCAGTTTCTCCACCTGCCTGGGAAGGAAGTTGACTGGTCATTGGGTCTCCCAAATGTCAGGGGCCCCTGAGGATACACAGGAATCCCTGGGGAGGGCTGTGAGGCTGCCTCTGCTTCACTAGACAGGGCCACCCTCACCAGATCTACCCAGGTCAGCAGTAGGGGGCCAGCAGTATGAGCCTTGACTGTACAGGGACCTGGACCTACAACTCTTATCTGTCACTGCAGGCTCTAGATACTCCCCACAGCTGGCTGACACCACCTCCCCTTGCAGCTGCCAGTGACGTTAGAGCCTGAGGTAGGACCAGAGCAAGGACCATGACAGAGCTTCTTGCAGATTGTGGACAGGGTGTGGAGTGGGGCGTGACAAGGAGCAGTTGTATTGCAGAGCATCACTGGGCTCATAGCTGGGTCACTAAAGGTACACGTGTCACAGGGTGGCCCGCAGGGATACCAGTGATGGGAATGGGCTTGGAGGTGTTAGTGAGAATTCCAGATCCTAGATCCTCAAGTGGCCTAGAGGTCACCCCAAGAAGCCTGCTTGTACACAGCCTCCTCTTTCCCCAGGGACTCCCACCATCCCCAGGTGACTGGGCTTCTAAGGAAGCTTTTTTTATCCACTTCCCTTTGTCTCTGGCCATGCCCAGCTGTGCCTCTCAGATCCACCACACAGCTCCAGGGCTGCCAGCCATAGAACTCTGCTACCATGGCAGTTCTGTTGGGCACTTGGCCCCATCTTCCTCCTTTAGATTCCTCAGACCTCCTGAGAACATGGTGCCATATGTGGGCACCAGCCCTGAGCATGGTGGCACTGTTGTCCTGCCAAGGAGACCCTGCTAGCTCAGGGGACCTTGAGACTGCAAGAAGGCAAAGTAGACCTGATGATGGGGCCTCACTTCCTGTTGCAGAGCCAGCCTAGCTGAGCCTCACCTGCATGGCCACTGCTGCAGCATCTAGGCCTGCTCTGCTGAAACCTCTGGTACTGCCCACAGATACCTCGCCAGCTCTGCCCACTGCTTCTGCTTGCTGCAGCCAGCCACTGGACCCAGGCAACCTCTGCCCACCTGCACGGTTACAGTTTAGTAGCCAGAGGAGCCAAAGACAGCCAGACCCTGGAGCTGAGTGTGTACTTGAACCCTGCCACCTCAGCCTGACCCAGAGTGCTTCCTCCAGGATTCAGGCATCTGGCAAACCCCAGCAGCCTCAGCCCCATTGAACATTCTTCCCAACAGCACCCGTATGCTGGGGACATTGACTGGCAGCTGCTGCTCACCAGCCATAAGCCTGTCCCATCCTCCTCTCAGGCAGCTAGTGTAAGGCAGCAGATCCTCTGGAGTGCTAGGCCACTTGAGGATCTAGGGAGGATCTGGAATTCTCACTAACACTTCCAGGCATTTCCCCCATACCTAACACTCCTCGTCTTGTGGCAGGAGCCTAGAAAGTGCAGGGCTAGGACAGCATTTGGGGGCCATTAGTTAGCGACATTGTTTTCTGAGGGCCAGAAACCTGTACGTTGCTGTTCCTGGCACCAGACACCCTGGTCTGTGAGCAGCCCCTGTACCCTTCCCTGACTTGCCCTTGTCTGCACCCATTCCAGCCCTTCCTCAGGATGGCACCGCCATCCACTTGGCCACATGCCCCTGCACAGTTTGATCTCCTGTCTCAACTCCAGGCCCAGGGCCCTGCTGTGCTTCCTGATCAAGTTGTCCCCACACGTCATCACTGTCCAAGACCACTCCTAGCCCTGCTCCCACCCACATGCAGCCTGGCACCACACCCACATCCCCACCTTGACTGCACACTTCCCTGGCAAATGTGAGGGCACTCCATGGGTTGGGGCCTGGTTGGGCACTATGGGCTCCCAGTCTGTGGAGGGTTGGGAAGCAGGGCAGCTGGGAGGGAAGTTGACTGGTCATTGGGTCTCCCAAATGTCAGGGGCCCCTCAGGATACACAGGAATCCCTGGGGAGGGCTGTGAGGCTGGTCCTCTGCTTCACTGACAGGGCCACCCTCACCACATCTACCCAGTTAGAATTCTAGTTGTGGGGAGCCAGAGGAGGACACCACCAAGCTGTGGAAGCAAGAGCCTAACTTTTGGGGAGCCCAGGAAGGCCTTTCAGGGCTTCTACCCTAGGGCCAAGGTGAGTTGACAGTTCCCCAGAGAGAGAAAAGCAGGATGTGGCAGACAGGAGACTGCTGAGGTGGCAGGGTTAGGAGGGAACCAGAGCAGCAGGCCCCAAAAGCCCAGGAGCAAATGGGAGGACAGGAGAGCTGTGGGGCTTCAGGGGGTGCCCTTGAGCCATGAGGCTAACCTCAACCAAGAGAGGACTTGGGCATAGCGGTGGGAACTGGGGAAAGTCTGGGTCTGAAGCCAGGGCACAAGGCAGGAATGAGGTGAGGTGGTGGGAATGGGAGGGGTTATGCAGGCTGAGAAAAGAAAGCTCTAATGGTAGACTCCAGCGGAGGCCTCCAGGCTGCTCTGCTGAGTTTGGAGAGGACAGCACCCTCAAGAGCTCGTCTCCTGCCTAAATGACAGAAGTGGGGACTGCTGGGTCCCCGTGTTGGGCAGCCTAACTTCATCAGAGCGCTGCAACAGACACTAAGTAGGCCCGGACAAGAGCCTCTGAGATCCTCCTAAAAGTCCGGGCAGGGAGAACGCAACCCCGGAAACAGCGGGTAAACCTACGTGATGGGAGGAGACACCAGCATCCTCCCGCTGGTGTGCTAACAACCCTGGGCCCCAAGCAGAGCAGATCTCCTTAACTTTTTAAAGCCTTCTGGCTCTTGGGATCAGGTATTTAACTCAGTGGCATAAACGCCTGCCTGGCAAGCGCTAGGTCATAAATTCAGCCCCCGGTACAAAAAACACTTTTGGCTCTTGAGACAGCCCTGAAGGAGGCAAAATCGAGGAGCGGGCCCAGCCGGGCTCAAGTCACCACCCGAATGTCTCTACTGGCGAAGGGTGGGTTTAGTTGGACAGGGACAAGTAGTAGACTTGAGTGTGTTTGGTGGCCTTTGTAGTCCACGCTGTAGGGATGGTGCGGCTGCTGGAGATCGGGGATCACTCGTCAAACCCTGACCTCCAGGGGCACATCAAGGGTAAGGACTTGAGGCACAGACTAAGTCTCGGACCTTGGCAGGGGTGCCCCGAGGAACTAAGAGCTCAGCTCCCGGAGCCATGCCGAGGGCGGGGGCTGGAGGACCTCTGGCGTGGCGTGGGGCAATTAGTCGCGCGTCCCGCAGGGGCTCCGGGCGGGGACGCTCCCGAGGGACGCCTCCAAATACACTGGCGTCTCCGCCTCTAGGAGCTCCTGGTGCCACCCCGCCTGGGGAGTCACAAGGAGCGGCTCAGGGACTTAGCACTGCCGGACGGGGGCGCACCGGGGCCGCCGGGAGAGGTCCCGCAGTGGATGCCTGATACGTGCCTGCGCCTCCCGCCGGGGCTGCGCGCGGGACTGGGATGGCGGGGCCGTGGCGACACAGGGAGACGAACCCCGCGGACCGTGGGGTTCCAGGTATCCGCTCCGAGCACCCAGCTCGACGGGGACGCGCGCCCGGCCGATCTCGGGGGACACGGCCTGGGGCGTGTCGCGACCCAGAACATCCCCCAAATGCTCTTGGAAGAAGCCTCAGTGGTTCCCGCACCGACCACGCTGAGGAGGTCAGTCCTCCAGGGCCTTCGAGTCCGGGGCTAGAGCGGCCGGGCTGGGAGGCTGGAACAGGCCGGGGCCCGCAGCGCCTGCGCCCTGCGAGTGGGAGGGGTCGCTGCGGGCGGAGGCCGGAAGCGGAAGTGGAGTGGGGAGCAGGGCCTAGTCGCAGCCCGAGCCTGGGAGACGGTTAGTGGGCTGGGGCCCGCGGCGGCGAAGGCGGCCAGGGTGAGTTGGTGAGCAGGCGGGCGCCTGGCCCCGGGCTTCGGCTCGGTTCAACCTACTTCCTTTCTCCCCCTCGGCCCACCTCAGGCCACGTCCCGACCTCTCACCCCTGACCCGTCGCCTCGCCCTGGCGGGCAGTCACTGCGGACCCCGGCTTCTGGGTCCTGAGGCGTCGGGGGCGGAGCCCGGGAGGCCTCCGAGTCCCTGAGAACGCCCCCGGCCTCGGCCCGAGACACGCGGAATGAACTCGGGGTTCGACCCAGGCGGGAGAAAGCGCTCATGGTCCCTCACTCCCCGCCCGTGGCTCCGCCCGGGGTCGGATGCGACCCGGCCTCGTCTTTGCCCCCGTCTCTCCTCGCGCCCCGGGCAGCGGTGACCCTAGGACTCCAGGCGGGAGGAGGGGAGGCGAGCGAGACCGCAACCTCCCGTGTGTGCTGTGGTGATGGAGCTGCCCCGCGCCGGGGCACCAAGCCACGCCGACGGTTCTAATGCGCGGTCGGGAGGTTGGGCTCCGGTTCCGGTGCCCTGATGGAAGTTGAGCCAGGGCTCACGAGCCAGGCCCCGGTAAGATAGGGTTGGCAGTCTCCCAGCGCCGTTCCCCGTGCCCTTGAGCCGCGGCAGTGCTTCGCCCGGCGGAAGCCTGCAAGGTGCGGGTCTGAGGCTGCAGTACAGGGAGGGCAGCTCTTGCCAAAAATAACCCTAGGGCTCCGGGTGGCAGGAATCCGGGAGGCCGCGCTGACCTGGCTGGTGGTTCTCGTCAACCCAGTTCTCTGGCCAGGAACAGCAACTGAGAAGCCGGCTGGGCCTGTGCTTGGAGGAAGGCTGGCATTCGTGGCGTGAGTTCTTTTGGTTGGCCGTTTCTTATGCTGTGTAGAGCAGAGCCTCCTAAATGTAAGCGTGGCTCTACTGCTGTAAACAGCCTGTGTTTTGGAGCCTCCGGCTGGCTTAAGGCCTTCAAGAATGCCGCTGGCGGGGGTGACCCAAGAGTACAACTGTTTCCCCTGCTTCTCCTGTCTAGATTATTAGAGGAGAGACAGGGCCTCGCCTCCTGCCTGTGTGTGCCATTTTCTAGCTGTCAGTTTGGCCATCTCTGCAGGCCAGGAGGTGTTTATCTCTGTTTTCCAGGCGCGGTAACCAAGACCTAGAGTGACTTGTGTGAGGTTACATGGCTGGGAAACATTGCCACTGTGATTGGGGTTTTTGTGTTGTAAGTCTGGCCTCCCAGTGCTTGGGAAGAGCTTATAAAATGTGCAGGCGTCTCCTGCAGCCTTGAAGTGTCACCTGGAGGTGTTCTGTTAATGAAAAAAATTGTCTTAACTTTTTTGTCACTTTTTGTGGGCCCAGAGCTGGAACAAGCATTAGTCTTAGAGGACAGCATATTTAATTCCCACAAAACCTCCTGAAAGATGCCTGTCTCTTCAAGAGGAAGCTGAAGATTAGTTTAATAACTGGCCCAAAGGCAAACAGCTGGAAATGGCTTTGCCATGATTCAAGTTAAAATCTGACCCCAGAACTGTGACTTTCCACTCATGTAGACCTGTATGGACATGGAGTCCTATGTGTCTCCAGAGGGAGGTTTTGACCTGGTGTGGCCTGACCTGTGTCCTGAAGAATCAGTGTTTATCTGCCCAGCGCACATAGGCAGGAGCACACCTGCCTGGCAGGGAGGCATGTGTCCCATTCAGCAGGCATCCTCGCAGTTAATTAGCAAAGTGAGATTTAGTACTGCCTTTTGTCTATGGCTTGGGCACCTGACCCAGTGTAATTGCAAGAAAACGGAGATAGTAGTCATCTGATCAGGAAAACAACAAACCTAAGCTTTGGGGGACTTGTCACTGATTTTACAGAGCATTCATCTCCAAGGGTTGCTGGAGACTAGACTTAGGTGTGGGGGGGTTGCTAGTGGGGAATCTGAGGGCAGGGTCTCTTGGGGTCATACAGTAGCTCCTAGGGCTCAGTCAGAGAACTCCTTAGCACCCTGCCCATTCTCCAGGAACCTTTTCATTGTGCCAGTGGGTTGGGGTGCTCTGTGGGTTTGATAGGCAACGCCAAGGCTGCCCAAAACTGAGGCTGGCTATGCACCAGGAAGGCTTGGAGAGAGAGTTACCTGCGGTGCTTGGGGTGTCTAGCAAGGGTAGGACAGGAATCATTCTCACAGAGCCAGCCTGCGGTGGCTATAAGTCCCAGCTGGATAGACCTGGGTGCTGCCTGTCTGCAGAGAATCCTGCCAGCTGGCTGATCTGGCTGCTAACTCCTTAGAAGGGAGCAGAAAGGACAGCAGTTTACAAGGAAAGACAAGGCACCAGGCCTGTCGATGCAGATGATCCAGAGTTCCTGGTGTTCTCTGGGTGACTGGTATGAGCTGGGTGGGCGCTGCAAGCTCTCATCTACTTAGGTTGACTCTGAAGTGAGCTAGGTGGTGCCAGGGACCCTGCTGCCTTTCTCAAGGGCTGGTCTGTGTCTTACCGGGACTTTGGCTCTTCCTCCTTTGGGTAAGGTCCAGTTTGGGGTCACAGCTTTGGCCCCTGGCTCCTGTCGACTCTGAGCCAGCAGCCTCCTGCCTGCCTCAGGCTCTCCAGAACATTCAGGACCTGGGCCCATGAGCAGGAGGGAACTGGGCACAGGAGACCCAGTTGCCCGAGTGCTTGGGCCCTCAGGCCATACTGTAAAGTGGTCATCTATGGGTTCAGTGGCAGAGGAATTGGCATCATCTGCTGTTAGGCCACTGTGACCTCAGAGTTCTTGGTCGCTTCATAAAGCCCTGGGAGGGGCTACCCCCAAACAGAACTGTGGGCCTCGTCTAGGAGTCCCAGCGCCTGTGCAGTCCCGGTGGCGCGGGCTGTGCTGAGCTGGGCTCTCCTCCTGGCCTAGATGCACCACTGTAAACGATATCGCTCCCCTGAGCCGGACCAGTACCTACGCTACCGCTGGAAGAGGCGGCGGTCCTACAGCCGGGAGCGGGAACACGAGGGGAGACTGCGCTACCCGTCCCGCAGGGAGCCTCCCCCACGGAGGTCCCGGTCCCGGAGGTGAGTGACTCTGGGGGGAACAAGGCAGGGTGAGGTTGTTCAAGGCTTGGGAGGTCTCTGGCTCCCTGAGGTGACCCCGCTTCGGTCTGGAGCCCCACTTGGCCTCATGGGCCCTCACACAGTCAACACCTGTGTTCTCTGGCATAGTAAGGGCTGCCTTCCTTACCACCCCTACCTCATCTCCCTGCCCATTTCATAGGTCAGCAGTGGCCCTACCAGCCTCAGCCTTTCTGGGTAGGACTTAGAGGAGGCTCTGCCTAGGAAAGACTGGGCCCCATCCCAAGCCCAAGCAGCTCCCAGACAGCTCCTCAGTGTGGGCACTCTAGAGAGCCAGCCTTGGCTCTGCGTGCTGCGCCTGTCCCTTGTTCTGACAGATTGTCCCTAAGAGCCCTTTCCAGGGCCCAAACACAGGGCCTTGGATGATGGGAGCAAGGACTCCACTGATGTTCCCATACCCCTCTGGCAGCCACGACCGCCTGCCCTACCAGAGGAGATACCGGGAGCACCGCGACAGCAACACATACCGCTGTGAAGAGCGGAGCCCATCATTTGGCGAGAACTGCTATGGATCTTCACGTTCCCGTCACCGGCGGAGGTCACGGGAGAAGATGCCATACCGGACCCGAAAACACAACCACCACTGCCACAAACGCCGCACCAGGTCTTGTAGCAGCGCCTCCTCGGTGAGTGGTGGCCAGGTGTACTGGCTGGGCCCAGGGCCCGTCCTTTAGCCTCTCTCAGGCGGGCTGGTCTGGTGAGTACAGCAGCCTGGGCATGCTGCTGCGCGTGCACGAGTGTGCATGGGTGTGTGTGTGTGAGATCAGGTCCAGGTGCAAGGCCGAGCAGAACACCTGGCCCTTTGTTTCCTTGCCCCTTGCCTGTGGCAACTTTGGGGCTCTGGCTCCGGCGCCGGCTGGTCCCCAGCCTATCTTGTCTCCACACTGCTCCAGACATAGGCCATGTGATACAGGTGGCAGGGTGCTTCTCAGGGACTCTGTGAGATTGTTGGCGTGACCTAGGGCCGCATGGCCTCATTCTCCCCGCTTTGTAGTGAGTGCTGTGCCGGGCATGGACTGTAGTCACCTCTGCTGCTTCTTCTCCCTGCTGCTTCAGAGGCAGCTGAAGTGTCCCCGGGGGAGGGAGCCGCATTTGCCTGTCAATTTGTTTTTGTTTTGTTTTTTATTTTGGTGGTGCTGGTGATTGAACCTAGGGCCTCGGGCTTGCTAGTCAAGTGCTTTACCATCAGACTATATATCCCCAGCCCTTTTTGTTTTCTGTTTTTTATAATCGGGTCTGGCTACTTTGCGCTGGCTAGTCTCGAATTCCTAGGCGCCAGCAGTCTTCTTACTGCAGTCTTCCGAGTAAGAGCAGGGGCTAAGGGTGTGATCACCGCACCCTGGCAGGCAGCTTGGAGGGAGCTTCACTCATGACCTCCAGGTCTTCAGGTCTTGCTGTGTTATCGGAAGGCAGTCACAGCCATGAGAGGCAGCTGCCTATGTGGCAGGGCAGTGGAGGAAATGACATGAAGGCCAGCAGCCCAGGTCTTGTCACAGGCCACACCAAGAGTAGGGCCTGGCCAGTGTCATAGCATGGAGCGTCGCACAGCCCTCTGCTAACCCAGGAGCCTACACTGTACTCAGTGCCCTGATGTCTTTGAAGTTCGAGTCATCTCTCCTGTGCCCCATCCCCCTTCCCCACCTCCTCCCACTGTGGGGACGGTTGTGGGACCAGTGGGGGCCAGTGTCTTCTCTGCCAAGCTCATTCTCTGACGTCTCTGAGTTGCTGTGGATTCACGTTTCCTCCCCCTGGATGAGTCCAGTCTGTGGTACTGCTTCTCTTTTTGGTACCCTGTGTCATCTGGAGGCTTGGAATGAGCCTGGCCTACAAGCCACATGAGGGCTGGGGCCTGAAGTGTGGCCCAGCCTTTGTGGCTCACCATGGAACTTTCTCGCTCGCGACTTTGCAGCAGCACTGGTGGTGGCAGGTTATTGCTGTGTTGTGGTTACTGCCATCTGGAGCAGGCAGCAGTGTGGCAGTGTTGGGCCGGACAGGGCTGTAAGGACGAATGGAGGCAGGCACAACAGCCAGGCATTGTTCCTCAGCTGAGACCCGGTGGCCCTCCGACCAGGCTGTGGTTGGACTGGGCCTGGCTGGCCATCTTCTTGCGCCGATCCTTCTCACTGCATCTCCAGCTCTGGTCAGAGCCACCACGGGAGGGCTCGGGAGGGGGACACTTGGAAGAGGAGGGAGTCAGGGCTGTGGCTGTCCTCAGGGCCTGGCCCCTCTGCGGCAAGGCTGGCGTCTTTCCATGCGCTTAGGGCGCACCTCTTAGAGATAAAAGTCCGAGTTCCCTTACATACCTGTAGCTGTTTTACTTTTCTGTTTTTGAAGTCAGCTTGTGTCTTGACGTGTCCCTTGCAATATCCCTATCGTTATATATGCTGTGTGCCTTATGAAATGCTGGCATCTGGAAAATCCAACCAACCAACCCACCGGGCTCCGCACCGTCTCCACCTCTGCCTTTGAATGACACTTCAATCTGTCAATCGGAACCGCCTACCATGCGATTGGTCGGATGGCGTTTCGGGGGGCGGTGCATGCAGAGAAGCCAACAGAGCAGTAAGCGCAGCAGCCGGAGTGTGGAAGATGACAAGGAGGGCCACCTGGTGTGCCGGATCGGCGATTGGCTCCAAGAGCGATGTACAGCCACCTTTCGTAAAACTTTACCTCTACTTCCTACTTCCCCCTGTTAGACGAGCTCTCCCGCCAGGAGGGACCTCTAGTGTGCGTGGTGCCTTAGTGGGCCACCAGTAATTGCCTGAATGACACAGATGCTAGCAACTTCTGTTTTTAAGAGTGTAGCAGTGAGAGAGAAGCCTTTTTTGTTTCTGAGAATTTGAATGCTGTGGACTTGCAGGAGCTGCCGCCTCTCCTGCTGTCCAGACTCTCACGCCCAGCCTCTTCTCTCTCGTAGATGAGATCGTGGGCAACCTGGGCGAAGGCACCTTTGGCAAGGTGGTGGAGTGCCTGGACCACGCCAGGTAAGTAGGCCGGGTAGGACTGGCGTGGCACCCCGGAGCACCCTTTTCCCAGAGGAGTGGGCTTTGCTGATCTGAATTAGGGGAAATTTGTGGGATGTGTGGGTGGGTGAAGTGCCTCCCTGGACATTGCTGCTCAGTGAATGACTCTGCCCCTTGTCCCCCAGGGCCTGGAGCTGCTTCCTGTGAGCTTTTAGGTTCTGGCCTACAGAGGGCTGGGCTGGACCCCACACTCTACCAATCCCAGCTGAGAAACCTGGCCCTGGGCCTTCACACCCTCAGGGCCAGGGTCTCCTGCCATCCCTTGCATGTTACTGTGAGTGGGCACCAGGCTCCATCCTGGCCCCAACAGTGCAGCACTTGCATCCTCTCAGTGTTCTATTAAGACTGTACTTGCCTCTGCCTGTGTGTGGCCCTCTATTAACAGTCTAAGGCATTAGCCACAGTGCCAGCCCTCACTCATCTGAGCACCTTGCTGGCCAGTTTGGGTTTTTTGTTTTTGTCTTTGAGACAGCGTCTTTTGTAGTTCAAGGCAACCTTTAACTATGTAGTCCAGGGTGGCCTCAGACTGGCAATGATTGCCTTGCCACAGCCTCCCAAGTGCTACGATTATAGGTATGTGCCACTATGCTTGGCTAGCTGACCAAAATTTTAGAGACCAAAAAAAATGCTGAGCATTTTCCCACTACATCTTAGCCATAGGAATGATCTAAAACTACATATTTTATATGAAAAACATTCATCGTAAAAATACATTGCCAGGGGTTGGGGATTTAGCTCAGCGGCGTAAGTGCCTGCCTTGCAAGCAAGCAGTCGTGAGTTCGATCCCTGGTACCGATGAAAAGGAAAAAGACAAAAAAAAAAACCACGCCATTAATTCCTCTGAGTGCCTACCACCCCCCACTTGGAACACATCCCATTATTGGCCATTTTTGGTATATTTTTGAGGCATAATCAGAAACACTGAGTGCTGCTGCAGGTTCCTTCCAGGGGAATGGCAGCCTCATGAAAACATCATGGTCCTGAGCCACCTTATTCACCAGATCTGGCACCGTGTAACTGTTAGCTCTTCCCCCAAAGTCAAAATAACCATGAAAAGGAAATGTCTTGCATCAATCCAGGACATGGAGGCAACCAGGACAAGACAGGACAGGACAAAGACACTCATGACAGGATTTCCAGAACTGCTACAGAAAGTGGTGGGGTGGGAGGGTATTTATTCAAAGCAAGGAAGAGAACTTTGAGTGTATTCATGGCAGTGTGCCTTTCACTGTAATAAATGTTCTGTAATTTAGGTACACACCATATTTTTCCATCACTCCTATATTGTGGCAGAAATGAGTACCATGGCCTCTCACATTAAAAAGGCTGCTCATAAAGGACAGCTGGATCTGGGAGTCAGCTATCCCCAAAGCCACAAGATAAAGTAGTGACTTCCCTTTGCTCCCAGCTCCAGTTTCTATACCTCTGGGGCCCAGTGTGGCCTGGAAAGTTAAGGTCTGGACAGTGGGTGTAGAACGACTATTCAGTAAGTGACAGGTAGGGATAGTACAGACCCAAGAACTGTGGCACATGGCAGCCAGGCTATCTGGCTCTGCCACTCTGAGTAGGTGAGGTTACTAGGAGGCAGGTGCAGTCTCTAGGGAGGCTTGAGGGGTACAGAGGGAGCAAGCAGGGCTATTTTAGGAAGCAGAACTCAGAACAGTGAGCCCGCAGGCCTGCAGGACTCCCTTGAATGAGATTGTCCTGCATTGAGAACTGCGGAACTGCAGAGGTGGGTTGGAGGGCAAAGCCCAAGATGTGTCACTCCCAGTCCTTACACCAGTTGACCAGCTGGGGTGGGCAGAAAGAGGGGGTTTGGAGAGGGCTGTGGTGAAGGGGGTGGCTTGGCCTACAGAATGGTCCGTGCTCCTCTGCCTTTGCTGTCCTCAGGGCAGGAAGGCCTAAGGCTGTATGTAGGCAGAGGTAGGACAGCTCACAGCTAGAGGGCAGAGGCCAGGCATCTCCTTGTGTCAGGGTCTTGGGGCTGGAGTGGAGGAGGGCAGGCAGGGCTGGCCAGGTGCTGAGAACTTGTTTCCTTACTGGGTCCTAGAGGAAAATCCCAGGTCGCCCTGAAGATCATCCGCAATGTGGGCAAGTACCGGGAGGCTGCCCGGCTGGAAATCAACGTCCTCAAGAAAATCAAGGAGAAGGACAAGGAGAACAAGTTGTGAGTCCACAGGGATGGAAGGAAAGGCCACAAGGCACAGACTATACTAGGCCCAGCCATGACGGGGGTGCAGGGCAGTGGAGCTTGCTTTGGCCCTCATGTCAGTCCTGCTCACCTTGCAGCAAGTGTCCTGAGGCAGGCCCAGCCCCATACTGGGGAGCAGGGCTCCCACAGGAGAGTACCTCCAGGACAGACACCCAGCTCGCTTCTCCCCAGTACCATCCTGTGCATGTCTGGCTCCTCCCCATCTGCTGTGGATGTGCTGGACCTGGGACCCTGGGACCCATGTCCCCAAGGCTTACCTGGATCATGGTCAAAGGGAGATATGCCTGCTGGCACTGGCATCCCTTCTGTGTGTCTCCGCACCAGGATGTGCAACTCATGGCCTGCAAGGGAGGCAGCCCCCAGCATAGCCTAAGCCTCTGTTCTCTCCCCAGCCTGTGTGTGTTGATGTCTGACTGGTTCAACTTCCATGGCCACATGTGCATCGCCTTTGAGCTCCTGGGCAAGAACACCTTCGAGTTCCTGAAGGAGAACAACTTCCAGCCTTACCCCCTCCCCCACATCCGGCACATGGCCTACCAGCTCTGCCATGCCCTCAGGTGTAAGTGCACAGGCACTGGGCGGCCTGCTGCTGTGAGGCCTCATTTTGGGCATGACTCTCAGAGTGGGGTAGGGAGTTGGGGCTCTTAGGCCTCCTGGCCCAGTCTGCCCCAGGCACTCAGGAGTTGGGAAGGGGTTCTGACCCAGCTCCAGCCCTGCCTCCCACCTTCAGGAAGAGGAGAAAAGACAGAAGCTACAGCTCTGTCCAGGTCCCCAATAGAGCCTGTCTACGAGGAGACCCAATGTCTGTTACTTATGTGCCTGCCAGCCTCACCAGATTTGGTGGCATCAGTGCTTAGTACTGTCAGGTGTGTCACTGTTGAGGCAGTGGGATGGCCCCTGGAGAGGATGGTGATGGACAGACACAGCTTGGATGTGTGAGGTTGCACAGGTGGCAGGAAAAGGGACTCAAAGAACAGCTCCGAAGGCCTGGCTTTGCTCAGACATGGGGAGCAAGAGTATGCACTGGGCCCAGGCCACTCTCTGGAGGGTCTGTGGTGTCAGGTGGGAACCCTGAGCTGCGAGTGTTAATGGCTCTGCCACTGTCAGAGGGACACAAGGACAGGTGGGAGGCTCCCCTGGCTTAAACAAGACCTGGCTTTCATTTTACAATGGGCCCAAAAATTCTGTTCCTGGTGCTAGGGTTCTAGCAGGGCCCAGCCAAGGCCTGGTCTCTGCATAGCAGAGGTGGAGGAAAGAGAGAGCTCTATCCTGTCTTTTTCTTTCTGGTTCTAGAGGACCCTTGTAAAACCTGTTTGGTTCAGGCAGGGTTTTGCTAAATTGCCCTGGCAGAACTAAGGTGTTATTTTGTCTCAGCCTCCCTGCATGCTGAGATTACACACTTGCACTTCTTGGCCTCCTTGGTCCTTCTAAAGGCAGGACCCTGAAGCTCGTGAGAGGGAAGCCAGCAAAAAGCTGGTTTCAGTTTGGCACCCTGCTGGAGGGAAGGCCCAGGTTCACAGCCTTCCTCCCTCTTCCTCCACCCCCAGTTCTACATGAGAACCAGTTAACCCACACAGACTTGAAGCCAGAGAACATCCTGTTCGTGAACTCGGAGTTTGAAACCCTTTACAATGAGCACAAGGTAGGGCACGGGGGCGGGGGACGCGGAGGGGTACACCCAGCCCTAGAGTAGGTACTGGACAGAGGCTCACCCAACCGGCCACCCTGCCTTCCAGAGCTGTGAGGAGAAGTCATTGAAGAACACCAGCATCCGAGTGGCCGACTTCGGCAGTGCCACATTTGACCACGAGCATCACACTACCATTGTGGCCACCCGGCACTACCGCCCACCCGAGGTCATCCTGGGTGAGTGACACCTCACCAGCCGTGTCACACAGAGCAGCTGTGGGGGCACAAGCAGAAGCAGGGTGGCATCCCTGATAGGCCAGGTCTCACCACCCCTTCCTCGGCTTGCAGAACTGGGCTGGGCACAGCCCTGTGACGTCTGGAGCATTGGCTGCATCCTTTTTGAGTACTACCGTGGCTTCACACTCTTCCAGGTATGCTGTGCTGCTCCTCTGGTGTGAGGAGGGCCACGCCTTTTGCTGGGGTGCCAGTGAAAGGGGATTGGGCAAGAGTTGTAAGAAGCAAGGGCCCCATACAGAGTGAGGCTGCAAGGACCTGTCACAGCCTGGGAGCAGGGCTGGCACCACCTTCCAGTGGCAGGTTCGCACCTCTTTGGCAAGGAGGGCGTTCTATCTGTCCTGCTAAGACCGGGACTGACACCATACTGCTGTGTTCTGGCCTGCAGACCCATGAAAACCGAGAGCACTTGGTGATGATGGAGAAGATTCTGGGCCCCATCCCATCACACATGATCCACCGCACCAGGTGAGGATGCTGGCTCCCTGGGCCTGCAGTAGGCAGTGGCACCAGACCTGCCCACCTTGTTTGCCCATACTGCCACCGCTTTGGGCCTGGCACCTCCACTTCTGCCACTTGACCTTCCCTCCCTAAATTTCAGGAAGCAGAAATATTTCTACAAAGGGGGCCTCGTCTGGGATGAGAACAGCTCAGACGGCCGGTATGTGAAGGAGAACTGCAAACCTCTGAAGGTCAGTTTCTGGCTTCCCCTCTCTCAGCTCATGCTGAAGAGACCCCAGACACTGGAGCAGATCCTTTTGTGCTCCAGCTGGGGATCGGCACCTGGTACTGGTGGCTTCCTGCAGCTGGCCCAAGGGTAGCATGATCCCTTGCCCACTGAGTGGTCAAGAATGTTATTGGGGAGCACCAGAAGAGCTTGGTGCTTGCAAGAGATTGCTGCTTCCTGTCATCTTCCTTTTAAGTTTTGGGCACAACTAGGCAAGACTGAGGCAGGAAGAAAGGTGACCTCCATCAACTGCATTTGCTGCTGGGCTGGACCAGTTGGTCCACAGAGGTGGTGCCTCTTACCTGCTCAGGACTCTGCATGTGGGTTAGAGGTGCCAGCCCTGCAGGATGCCTGGCAGCCTGAGTTCTGAGCAAATCATTGGAGCTTGGGTGTGAAAGGAGAGGAGCTGCCCTTGTCCCAGAGGGCAGAAGTGGCGTCCTGAGAACAACCCAGGCTTGGCAAGGCCTCCCTGCGGCAAGGGAATTGGAGTGGCTCTCACCACCCACGGTCACAGCAAGCACTTTGTGTCCCTGAACAGAGTTACATGCTCCAGGACTCTCTGGAGCACGTACAGCTGTTCGACCTGATGCGGAGGATGCTGGAATTTGACCCTGCACAGCGCATCACATTGGCAGAGGCCCTGCTGCACCCCTTCTTTGCGGGCCTCACCCCCGAAGAGCGGTGCTTCCACACCAGCCGAAACCCCAGCAGATGACAGGAGTGCCTGCATGCCAGTAGGTGGAGGGGTAGAGCCACCGACAAACAGTGCAATGTGAAGAAGGCAGGAGCCTATAGAACACCCAGCTGCCAGAAAGCACAGATCTGACCCACGCTATTTATATGTTGTAAAGTTATAATAAAATGTTTCTTACTGTTTGTAACCCCTGGTACCAGTGTGTCCATCCACAGGCTCCTGACCTTTTAATAAAGTCTGATCAGCAGTGCAGCCTGTGGAGAGCTACATGTGGGCTGGCCAGGCACATAGGTTAAGTGATGTAGGGATGGTCCCAGGCCAGTGAGACATAGCCCCAAGGCAGCTCTCATGCTATCTGCCAGGTGCAGCCAGCCAGAGTAGCTCCCGAAGGGGGAGGTAGCACCCTGTCAACACTCACAGAGCAGTTCACACAGCACAGAACTTGCTAGTTCAACTTTATTGTAGTGCTGGTTTTGGTTTCGGTTTCCCAACAGCTGCACAAGTATCAGGCATGGTCTGTCAGAGCCTTTTGGGGTCTGGCTACTGAGGAACTCTGCCCATCTTAATACCTCTGGGGCAGCCCAGATGGAGGGCAAGGAAGTTCCCAGGCCTCCGGAGAAGAAAAGAGGCCTCGGCATCAACTCCTGGTGGTCCCTCAACAAAGCCATCACCCAGGGACAATGCACTGGCATTACCAGTTGTCTGATCAGGGTTCTAGCTCATCCATCACACCCAACAGGAGACCTGTCAGTCCAGGACCTAGAATGGCTGGCTGTTAATGCTGGTCACCTGGGCTGGACTATGGCGCTGCCTATGAATAAGGGCCCACTCAAGGGTGGGCAGAGGCAGAGCACACTGCACTGGTCCCTGGCCTCCCACCACTGGAGACCATAGTGGAGGGATTGTACAGCCAGCTGTCTGCACGTGCTCACTGCCTGTGACAAAATGACAGGCATCCCAAACCCTAGCACCACAGCCTTCTCCATAACCAAAATCCTTAGCCAGGCCATCCCTGCCCCCAACCCATTCCTCCCACCTTCCCCTCAGCCACTGTGAGCAGAGCAAAAGGAGCCTGAAATCCTATGCACTTGCAAGGGGCCCCACCAGGGCTCCAGGCTTGACCTGTCCCACCCGCCTCTGGTACAGGTTCAGGTAGGTTCTGGGGTCTGGGCATCTGGGATCGGATTGTGCTGCCCACAAATGGGCCCATCTGGACCCAGACCTTGTTTGGGCATCTCTGAGACAGGCTGCTACCCCAAAGCCTACACATGAGAGTGACACCCAGAAGAGCCAAGTGCAGACCAAAGGGATGGGGAGGAACCCAAGAGGAGAGGGACACAGCCCTATGCTGGGAGGGCAGCTGTGGGGGAGCTTTCCGAGGGGCAGGCAGAGGGGGTCGAAGGACGGGGTAGGAGTGTGTGGATGATGCAGGGTGGGGGCCAGAACAAGCAGCAGGAGCTGCCTCCTGCAGCACCAGGTTGCCCTGGGCGCCCCCATCCTGATCCTTAAAGCTGCATCCTAAGCACTTTGGCCTGACTCAGCCACCAGCCAGGGTGGGCACTGCTGGCAATATGGACACTATGGTTCCCCAGTAACAAGCTGTGCGAAAGACCGCAGCCAGCCAACAGATCCCATCATGGTGATACATCCTGAGACCTTGGTCCCCACCACTCAGAGTTGGAGTAGAACTAGGAAAAACCCAGCATAATACCTGGCTTGGCTCAGAAGAAAGGGACAAAAGCCCTTCGTGACTACCCTCTGCTGGACAGGTGGCACATGACCATCACAAGAAGGGCTGCTGGCTGGACACGCAGGCCACTGCCATCAGTGCAGGTACAGAGCCCAGGTCTCAAGAGGTCCTGCTGCCCGTGCTGTAAACCTGAGCAGTCAGAGCTGCCTGTGTCTGTAAACAAACCCTGCGGGCAGAGGTGTTTGGTGCTCAACTGCCGCCAAGTGACATGCCAGTTTTCAGTGTGTTGTTATCTCACAGGAGGAACTAACCCAAAAGAGGAAAACTGTACAGTGAGGCCCATGAAGCTTCACATCCTTAAGGCATCTGTCATTGGCTGACAGCAGGACTTTAGGCAGAGTGCAGGGGGATGACGAACTTGCAGCCGAAGGGCGAGTGGTAGCTGATGCCCACCTCCTGGAAGACCTGTTGGGGGATGCCAATGTCGCACAAGTAGACACGGCCTGCATGCTCCCCCAGTGGCAGGGGGAGGCCCAGCGCCAGGGACCACTTGGCATCAATGCCCTGCTCAGCTTCATGCACAGGAGGGTCTATGCTGAGCACTGGTGCCCGGTTCTGGTTGGCCCAGGCCACTGCTGCCTTATACCAGGGCTGATCCCGCAGGAAGGCATTTTCGGGGCAATCCAAGCAGTTGATGACCAGGTCCACGGGGCTGGTGGGCAGATCTGCAGAGGAAAAGGTGCTGTGTGGAACCTGGAGCAGAAAGCAGCCATGCAAGACAGAGCTCGGGGCCCAGACAGCACTCATACCCACTCCAGGCTGGGCCAGGCACAGGCCTGGGGGTTCCAAGCCTGTTCAGACTGAGGCCACTGCCTCATATGGGGTTCCCAGGCTGCTGAGGGGCAAGTCCCACACCCCTCTCTACTTTGAAGGCAGGTCCCACATCCGACCAATCCCAGGAGCATCACAAGCTCTGGCAGGTTGGGTGCCTATGGGGTAACTCTCACTGCAGACTGCTGAGAGTCCAGGAGAAAGGGAGTGGTGGGACTCGGACAACAAGCAGTGACAGCACGCAAGCTAAGCTACTACTCCAGCATCCTGCCCTCCCAGCCTGCTCCCGAGCCTCTGGGAATACAAAGAAACAGCCACCAGCAGTTACAGGGTCCCTGTGCTTGCTCAAGCCAGCCTCTGGGACAGTACAGGACAGGGGTCTCAGCAAGCCGACTAAGGTAGTCCAAGCAAGCAGGGCTCAGGGCACACCAAAGATAACTGCCCTGACCTGCCTCCCACAGCAGGCGGACAGACTTTTGAAAGGCTGAGGAGCTGCCCAGAAGAAGTGCCAGCCCCTAACCTTCAGTGCTGGTCTTCTACATGTGCAGACTGGACTCTGCTTAGTACTCACCAATGAACAGGAGTCCTCGAGGGTGGGGAGCCCTCGAGTCTTCCTTGTGCCCACAGGGACCTGCCTGAGCTGCTGGTAGGGCCTCTATGTACACTGCTCCCTCTCCAGTCTTCTTTCCAACTCTCACTTGAGTCCTGTCACACTCTGCTCAAAAGACAGCCTTGTTGGGGTCACCAGAGAGGGCTGTGCTGCTGAGGCAGGGCCAACCTTCCCGCCAACTTGGCCTGGAGTGGCTTGTGACACAGCCATCACATGTTCCTCATCACCTGGCAGTCAGGACCTTCTCTCCTGCCCTCCTTGGCTGGGCTCTCAGTCCTTGACTTAATACACACACAGCCCAGGCCGCCTAGATTTCCAAACTGTGCCCAACAGCCATACAGTAGGGGTTCTGCTCTTGCCTACTGCCCTCCTAGGTCAGCCCCATGACAGCACCAAAGCTCCTCAGGCTGAAGCCTGGCACTGTTCTCAGCCCTACTCCCTCGACACCCACTATGCTGACAGCAGAACTCAGAACCCAGCTGTGTCCACATCTTGGGCACAGCCACCATGTGCTCCTGTCCTCGGCAGCAGCTTCTTATACCCCGGGCCCCGACTACCTGCCCTCAGGGAACTGAGCTGCACCAGAGCATCAACCCCAGCCCTAATCTCCCCTGAACCCACCTTACCCAGCTCTCTGGCACAGCGTTCTCCTGGTTACCACCTGGCCTAACGCTTGATACCCTCACCTTCCTCTCTCCTACCCTAGAGATCGTAGAGGTCAGCTCTATGAAGGACGGACTTCAAACACATGCTGCCCTATCCCCAGCACCAGGGACCGTGCCTGTCCCACACAAGAGTGGAAAAGGGTGAAGGGCAAAGGATGGGAGTGGGCACTGCCAAGACTAGAGCGGTTATGGTGAACCTTTTAGAGCTTTCAATAATACCAATGGCCTGCTACAGCTCCTGTGCCACAGGTTCACTACCACTGCTCTAGAACTAGTCGGCACACTCCTTGCCTTTCCATAGGTACCACTGGGTGGCACCACCAGAACATCACACTACCAGAAGCAGGCAGCAGGAGACTGCTCCGTGCTCACCTTTGAGGCTGGACACCTGCTGGCCCTGGGTCTTGCTGAAGAGAGATAGCTCATTGGTGATGGACTCCAGCATCTTGACAAAGTTGGGCAGGAAGAGGATGACCTGCACATCATGGTTAGCCAGGTGTCTCCCGCAGCTGATGCCTTGAGCCCCCTGCACATGGGGCCCACACAGCAGGGCCACAGTGGGCCTCTGGTGAACATTCTTGGGGTTCAGCCTGGAATACAGAGCAAAAGGCAGTCACTGGCTGCAGACTGGCCGATCCTCACATCTTTATCAGACAAGTTACCCCTCTGGGGGTCCAGATCAGCAGGCCAGGGCCCTGGGGTGTCATCCCCTCTACCTCCACTGTTCCCATCAGGGAGTCCACTATTGAACAACACTGTTGTCAGAACCCTGCTGATGGTTCCTCCTGTGTGACTCTTTAGGGACACACTTGACAAAGCAGCTTCTCCACTTGGCTTTCTTGGGCTCGGTGCCAATGTCACTGCCCACCAACAGCACTGTCCCTCACTCTCACCTGCACTAGTAAGACTCTCTCTGACCGTGCTCAAATCATGTCTCCCACCAGAAAGTCGTCCCTTGTCAAGTCCCCCATCTTTATGGGGTCCAGCTTGAAGCTTGCTGCTCTGGGACTACACTCTGGCCACATCGATTCCTTTCTTCTCAGCTCCCAGTGAACTCTCACTTTGGCACAGCTCTAAACTGTGTCACCTCTGTGCAATCTCTGTCCTCTTACTCCACTGCTAGTGAGCCCACAGGAGCAAGCTGCAATGTCACCAGCACCGGCTTCATGGCATGCCACATGGATGAAGGACACACAGAGCCTGGTGGTTCTGCCACACCATGTGCTCAGTGGATGCTGACCGTCAAGGTGGCACTGCCTGGGACAAAGTAACCACCTCATCTCCTGTTCCTCAGAACTGAGAACTTCTGGTTTCAAAGCAGCCACCAGTCAAGGAGGCCTGGAGTGGCCCAGGTTCCAGTCACACGGCTGGCTGCTGGGCCAGAAAGGCCTAGGTCCCTGTCTGTGGGGACAAGTCTCGTCTTCCAAAGGGAGAAAGAACAGATGTCCGCAGGCCATAGGACAGTGTCATGACTACCTCTCTTCCCAAATAAACTTTGAGGAAATGAGACCAAACCATTCTCTCCACTATTTCTACATTTTGAGAAACCATGATGAGTTTCTCCCTTCACTCAGAAGCCTTAGAATGCTGTGGCATCAGACCCACTGTCTCTTCCCCAGTGGGCTCTCCCCGCCCCTCCTCCTTCACCAGAATGAAAGCAGAGCCAGAAGGTGGGGTGCACAGCACTAGAACAATACCAGCATGTGTCACCAGGCAGCACTGCAGCTCCATGAGCTGCTGCATGCACATCTCAATATGGGCTGCAATCTCTGAGGTGACCCTGCAGGAAGCACAGGAAGTTCCACCATGAAAAAGTGCTGTGAAGAGCTGCATGACAGCCAGTGTGCATCAAGCTACAGGACTACTATGGATTCATTTCAAACTGAGCCAGTGGGAGCAGCAAAGGCCAGCGTGGACTTCTGAGAACTCAGCCTAAGAAGATGGGCTGGGATCAGCCAGCCCCCAGAGGCCAGCTACGAAGCAATGTCCCCTCCCTATTGTCCCCTGACTGTTATTTCTGGGTATGTTTTGCTTTTTAGACAAGGCTGTCCAGGTTGGTGTTGAACTCCTGGGCTCAAATGACCCTGCTCAGCTACCCAGCAACTGCTGGGTGAAAGACTTTCACTGGCATCTGACACCCCAAGGGGCCCACTGCAGCAGATGGCAACCCAGACAGATCTCCTTTAGAGAACACTGTGTGCAGCTGCTTATGGGAGCCACCCTGCCTGGGCATCAGCGCAGCTGAAGTGAGCCCAAAAAGGACCGAAGGAGTAGCCACTCCCCTCTACTAGATAGCAGTGGCAGGTTGGAGGGAAATCTCACTCGTGTCCACCTGAATCAAGCCCACTGTGATCAAGATTGCTTCAGAATCAGGTGAGGCCTCTGTCCAAGCCTGGCCTGCAACTTGCAGGAATATGGCTTCCTCCACCCAGCACTGTCCTCTCTGGAGACCACCTAGATCCCTGGCAGGCAAGAGTAGTATTTTGCTATTTACATCTCCAGTGCTGAACACAGATCTTGTCCTTGGTATCAGAAGTATTGGGATTTACTATAGTATCACAATAAATAAAGCACACAGTCCCAAAGGAACATGGGAAGGCACGGAGCCCCAGGTTCCCTATCAGCAGCCAAGGTAGCTCCAGAGGTCCTCAGAGGTGACGCTCAGGGCTGACTGGCATCCCGGATACCAGCAATGAACAACAAGTTCAAAGGCCAGGCCACGAAAGCTTCTAGAAGGTAGACCTCTGAGTTAGCAGGAGCCTCAAGACAGACAGCTGCCATCGGAAAAGGAGCAGAGCAGAGACTTCCCGCAGCTGGCTTTCAGAGCAGACACAGGCACCAGGCAGTGTGCAGGAGGCACTGTGGGGTGACCAGGCACCTTCACCCCACCAGTCTTGAGGTACTCACCTGTTGGGCCCTCCAAGGAGGGTCAGTGCCATCTGACTGGCACATACACCTGTCATCTCCAGCCTCCGCTCCAGGGTCAGCCCATGCCTCTCTGCCACAGACAAGAGCTTTTTGTGCAGCTCGTAAGAAACACTCGGGACCACCAGGCCAGAGTCTGCCGTTCCAAAAGAAGGAAACAGAGAAGCAGAGAGTGACTGAGGAAATCAGGTTCACAAGTGGATTATTTCATCCCTAAGACCTACCCTCACCAGCCACCTTGCCCGTCTTCGGGAACTAAGATGCTCCGCAGGGCCTAGAGTTCAAAGAGTAGACAGTGAGTGAGCTCAGGAACAGCTTGGTCCAGATTGCCACATAGCAGGACAAACTTTCCTTCCAAGTAGTTTAGCTTCAAACCATGAAGGCCAAATCCACTGTGACAGGTTTGTATTACCAGCATGTGACAGCAACCTAGCCATCCCATGAAGAGAACACACTTTCCCAATATGAGGGACAGTGCTGTCCTTACCTGCAAGGCTCCCATCTTTCTTAGAGGTGGGGCAGACATTAGGGATCCTCTGATCTCCATCTTGCTGCTCATCTTTCCCCCACTTCCTCTTTCTACTACTTAACCTTTCCTTTTTGCTAAGCAAGTTCAGCCAGCAACTTGTTTTCTCATGATTTTTCATTTTCCCTGTTTAGGGTGAGTGTGACCCAATTTGCCACAGGAAAAAAATGCAGGACAAGTAACCTATGATCTGCTTAAAGCTACTTAGAAAACTCCAACAGATTTTATCCACCACCACAACTCCACAAAGGGTGTGCAGGTGTGCCTCAGTTACAGCTTCATGGGGACACCTCAGAGCCACCTCCAGATAAGCAAGATGGAAACTCAGAGCCACAACCTGCAACAGTAGCTCTTCCTGAACGGCCCAGTCTCCTTCCCTACAGGATGCCAATGTCATCTTGCAAATGCTGAAGCCTTCAAGCTGGCCCTGAGGAAAAGACCCTCTGCCAAGACACCACAGCTCTGCTGGCTGATAGGGAACAATGCACATCTTCTATGAAGCAGGCCTTGTGGGCCTCGTGGGATCAGACTTTTTTAGGTCCTGTGTCCTCTGCTACACTGAACCATAAACACCTCCAATTGCTCCTACTAAGCTGATCCACACAGGTGAGTGCTCATCATGGGAAGCACAGACCTATCAATGTGAGTTTGCACATTGTTCCAGAACAAGCCCAAACCCACAGTGAAGTTTTCGGTACATGCACTGTCATTCCACTCTTCTAGGCCCCAAACAGAAAAACCTGGGTCATACAGAACAACGGCATCCACTAGCTATGCAGCCCCTTGCATCACTGTGTGCATCACGCAGCACAAGGGCCAGCTGCATGCTTCAGCACTAGGAAGCCAACAACAGGAGACCAATCCTCCCATACCCAGGACGTCGTCTAAGGAAAAACAGTAATACAAAATGTAAACATGTCAGAACACACTATCCTCTTGGCTGAGTGTTTCCACCTGCCTGGGTCCATTTTTGTTTGGGGCCAAGGCAGCAAACAGCATCATCAGGAACATGGAGTTTCTTTTCCCACTGCTCTCTGAAATGTCAGTTGCTGAGATCCCAGGTGGCAGGATGCTTGAGGTTACAGCTTGACCTTGCATGTCAACAAATGATTAAAACTGCCATTTTTATGACTTGCTTCAGACACGCAATATTATCACAACTAATTAAAAGGCCTTGATAGCAGTGTGTAAAAGATGACTGAATGTTCATGAGTCCTAAGTCACAAACAGCTCCAAACCTGTCAAACAAGTCATGCATCTGCCCAACTTCAAATGTGCTCTTCTGTGAAGTCACGCAAGGAACAGCTCTGCTTTCACTGTCTCTGTATTCTTTCTCTTTATCATAGCTCTTTCTGTTTGAGTGGTCAGAGCAGTGAGGCGTGGCCTGCCACCCACAGGGAAAGCCTGTTTCCTGGGTCTGGGTGCAGGCAGCACCCCTGCTCTCAGGCTCCCTGGGACCAGAGTAGCCATTTCTGCTAGCTTCTCCTCTAGCCTGATATAAGGCTACAAACTCAAGGTCTGGGAGAGAGCATTCCCTGGACCTTGGCCAGCTGGATGCCATGGGAGGAAACTGAGGCCCTTCTACCTCCCCAGCATGGGGCAGAAAGGGGTGGGCAATGGGCTGCTGACAAACTGGAATATTCTTGGAACTCAAAAAAGTCATGTCCAGAACCCTTGCAGCTCACAGTCTCAGAGTAGCAGGGTCTGGGAATCCACTTTTCTAGGCAGGTGCTGTGTCACCGAGCTGTATCTTTGGCACTGGGAATCCATTTGTCTAAAAGAACAAGTAGGTTCCAAACAATGCTCCTCTGGATGCTTAGATACCAAGTCCAACGAGGTGGATGTTTATCAGAAAGAAGCACAGGGAGTAAACTAAACTCCAGAGGAAGAGAATCAAGAACATAGCATGTAAGTTGCAAACAACAGCACTGCCAAAGCCTGAACGGGAGCAAAGCCTAATGATGTTTGGGAAGGCGACTATTGTTCAGGCATCATGGCATCGAATGCTGCTGGGAAGGTTTTTTTGGAGAGTAATATGTACTTTACAACTGCTGAGAGAATAGGGAGACATAATTATAACCAGGTTGTGATACACAGTGCTCTCAAGACTGGGTTAACCTAAGCCACTGGAGACATATAGCTTCAGCACACAGGGCGTGCCCAGGAAGATGCCTCCACCCCACATGGCTCACCCCACAGCATACACCCACGTGCACCAGCCCTGGTCACGTCACTGCTTCCCTGCTGGCCCTGGCACATGCCACATGTCCTCTGTGGCACTTGCAACCCAAGACACCTTGTAGTCCATGTCTAAGCCACATCAACCCACCTTTGCTAACAAGGCTCTCATAACAACACAGTCTCTCAGAGGTCAGGCATTGAACACACAGGTGTGCCCTGCTACAAGAAAGGCCTGTGTCCCAGGCCTCATTCATAAAGACAGAGCTCACTCAAAGGCACTAAGTTCCTCTGGATCAGTGGCTCCCAACTGCATTCTGCAGCAGCCACCAAGCAAGTGCTGGAATCACACTGGTTCCTTTAGGTGCAAACCTGACTGAGGCCAGCTGTGCACAGACCACCCCTGCAGATCTCAATTAAAGCTGTCCCAGAATGCACTTTGCTGTCCAGTGCCTCTCTGAAAGGAAGATCTGTTGCTAGAGGCCTGAGGATGGCACCACACACTCCACATTGGCTGAGGCCTCCAGTGATCTGGCTCAGTCTATTGCGCCTTCAACCTGCAGGGCCCTGAACTCTGCAGACCCATTGTCTTGCTGCCTTCTGATACTTAAATAATCCTGACTCCCTCTCCTCTCCTCTCCTATGCCAGCCCTCCACAGGGCTGGCTCCCATTCTGTTTCTGCATACTTTCTCCCCTTCATGTGTTTTACACATGTGAGAGTGATATCCTTCTACTTTCTGGCCTTTCTGCCTTGATGGACCACAAGCTCACACAGGCAGTGACAGTATCCTCCTCATTTCTCACTGTGTCTATGGGGTTAGCACAGTGCTTAAGGATGATGCCAGGAATAAAGGCCACTAAGCATGTGTTCAACCAAGGAATTGGAAAGGAAACCTGCAGCAGACTTAGGGTCAGCCTCAGGGCATGGGGAAGGACCTAGCTGTTACCCAAGACACCTATGGGAAAGTTGTCTCTGGCTTACACCCACCCACCCATCTCGAGTTACAACAACCAGAGCAACTCCATCCACAGTGGACCTCACTCCTCCAAGCCAAAGCTGCAAGGAACAAGCTTTGAACTTCCAGGTGAAGAATCAGTAAGATAGAGGCCAGGGATATAGTTCAGCAGCATACCACCTGCTTGGCAATTCGCAGAACTCTCCAAAATAGGACCAAAAAAAAAAAAAAAAAAAAAAAAAAAAGTCAGGTAACTTACCAATCACAAGGAGGAAAGTATCCTTACAGCGAAGAAAACATGGTGATCACCTCAGCAAGGGATCACAGGACAAACTGATTCACAGTGGCCCTGGTATGACTGACGTGCTGATAAACATGCAGCCTTATCCAAATCCTAGATACTATGCTTTAAGTGGGTCAAATCCAAGGAAACAACTCTAAGGGACTTCCTACAAATGAAATGGCCCAATTTCACTGATAGAGTCCCAAAGTACCACACATACTACAGGCACTTGTCTAGAACAAGGAAAGACAAGAGGCACAGCAACTGTAACACACAACGGCTAGGAAGAATGCAGCCACAAAGGGCCACCCACAGAGTGTTACACATAAGCATATATTTCATAATATTTTGTGTTAATTTAAAATTTCCTAATCCCAGTACTTGAGAGTGAGGGAGGCAGATCGTTGCAAGTTCGAGACCAGCCTGGGCTACAAAGTGAGCCCAAGGCCAGCCTGAAATGAACAGTGAGACCGTCTCAAAAAAAATACAAAAAATAAATAAATAAAATAAAATTTCCTGCTGGATGTGGTGGTGACCACCTGTAATCCCAGCACTCAGGAGGACAGAAAGAACAAAGACTCTGACAACAGAGGCTGCTTCCAGTCTCACAATCTGCTGAAAACCACATACAAGAAGGAATTCGAGGGAATACAGTCACCTTGGACAGTGCCATCCTGAGCACAGTGCCAGGTAAAGGCTTCAAACCAGGAACCATAGCCAGGAGCAAGTGTCCGGTTCTCAATACAAATGTTGGCTTTGAAAGCGGGGAAGACTACAGGCACACCTGAGGGGTGCTGGAGTGGGGGAATGAGCAGAAACCATAGTAAGTACTGCATGTGCAGACAGAAACACCCTGCACATCAGTAGTGGGCAGCACTGGACTTTAGAAAGCTTCAAAACTCGAACTGTAACTAGGCACAGTGGCACACACCTTAATCCCAGCACTCTGGGAGGGTGAGGTAAAAGAACTGCAAGCACAAGCCCAAAGTGCCTAACCTAGTGACTTGGCAAGACCTTGTATCAAAAACCAGAAGTGACAGAATACAGCTTGGTACCTGAGTTCAATCTCTGGTGGACTCCATGACAAAACATTGCTCGAGTTGTTGTATGCTAATTGTTTTATGCAGAAAGAAGTGGATGATTTAAGGGACACTAGAACTTGTAATGCAGCACAAGAAACTAGAAGGTCACA